CCCTCTCCCTTCCTCTCTCTAAAATCAATAAAGAAAAAATATTTTTTTAAATTAATGAATGTGTACTTGTATATCTTCAGGGCACACTTGAGAAATATGCCAAATATTTATGGGGTATTTTTCCATGCGTTTATTGGAGTTTGACTTCCCAAGCATACGTTTTTAGAAATATAAGCAAGAATAAATGTGTTTGAACAATGTGCAGTGAATGCTCATTGGCCTGAGCTCAAATGAGAGAGCTAAACTAAAACTTGGTGGTGGTACTTTCATATTCTGTATTTTGAGAGAAATGACAACTAAATAGTAAATCTACTCTTGCTTTGAGTAACTTTATAACTATATGGGCACCCAACTGAAATTCCTACATCATCTACATCAATAGCAATGCACAGTAAAAACAAACATCTATTATGATGGCCCTGATGCACTGGAGGACCTTGAGTGCTTCCGTGCTCAAATAAAGGTAAAAAAAATTACATTGAGATATGTCCATTTTCTTGCACATTAATTACTTGGAGATGCATCATCTTTATCTGAGGTAAACCAAATATTTTTTTAATATAAATATTCATTTCTCCAAGCCTGTACATATAAATGAAAATACTTGATGATCTTTTATTTTTAGAACTTTGTCCCTTAGTTAAAAAATAAATGCATCCTTCAGATATCCTTAGTTTACTACTGATTTCAGAAATGTCTGTTTTTAATCATACCATTCCATTTGGCATATTTTGTATCAATTATCCTCATTAGCAGTTGATCTTCCCCTTTCATTTTGACATCTGTTAAAAGGAGCAGCTTGAAGAAGAGCCTCGCTATCAATTTTTTGACAAAAGATTTCCCATTTGATTAAAAAAAGGGATGATATAAATCATAATATGTCTTCATTAGCTGTACCTAATACTTAGTTCAAGCATAACCCTGTTCCCTAGGAGCCATTTTCTTGATTCACCATGTTCTGTCCACCTTATTTAATGACTCAAAAAAGCTATATACATATCACAACTCCCCACATGGATGTTGATTTTATGTAAGCTTGCTACTAACTCTCTTATGTAGCATCCGTAATGCTTCTTGGTTTTCAATTTTAAAAAATAGTTTCAGAAATTTCAAAATTAATAAAATAAATCAAAATGTAAGTTGGAAATAAATCAGTTAGTTCCAAATCAAATGAATAGATAACTCAGGGTCACACTATCGGTTCCATTCTAATGATTAAACATCTCCACTATACAACTCACAAAGGCAGAAACTCTTTATAACTTGAGACATCCCAATGTATCTCTTAGTGGAAAGAAAGTGAGCCAAAACTTGAAATTCATAGTTATTTTTGTTAATATTTGAAAACAATATTCAAGTGGGAAAGGTAAAGAAAACTATAACACATGCAAAACATACAACAAGCTGTCACATGTTTTCACAAACATTCATTAACTAATCATTTTAGGAGAAAATTTTCTAATACTATATAGAACAGTATCTACATCTGTATGTTTCTAAAAAATCTACAGGTATCAGCAGTTCTGTGAGCAGGTCATCACCTGTCACCCTTGAAGTATTTTCTTTTTTGTCTTATCTTGCTTGCCCATGACAGGGTAATAAATACTGTTCTACACTAAGAAATAAGTGAAGAAGAGTTTGCCATAATTTATTCCTTATTTGAACCAATACATTATTCTAAATCTTTGGGAATTAAAGGGTAACAATTATCCCAGCATTTAAGTTGTCTTGTATCTCTTGCATTTCACTGCCAAAACAATTTTGAATAGAATATGGGTCTGGGAGTGAGGGGAGAATATGACACATCCAATTAACCATTTAAAAAACATTATCTAGCACCGCCTCTTTCAACAAAGTCATGGATATTATTACAGTCTAATCTAACTTTTCTACAGAAAGTGAGAAGTCAATCAGTGAGATGCCTAATTGTCGAAATGCAGCAATCCAAATCTACAAACCTTTAAAGACCGGGAAAATAAATGATGCAGGATAATGTAAAATAGACTTCATTAAGGTAACACTACATTTTCAATCTTAGCTTCTTGCAGGCAAGTGCCTTTAATTAATGATTAATTAGTACTTTTTTATTTATCTATCCCTAGGTACTTCCATTTCTTCATTTTGGTTGGCAGGTAGCTATTGCTATAGACTATGACCAGTAGCAGGTATTCACTGGGCTTGCACTGCTCAGTCTAACACTCATCTAATTGTTCCATCCTCAGTCTCTCTGCACTGCCCCTCTGGCCCAACGGGATGCTAAGAGCTAACTAACAGCGGTGCAACGCCCCATTCCAACACTGAAGTGACTCTACTGGCCAGCTCACAGCAGCAGAACACTGCCAACTATGTATCTGCATGCCAAAAGTTGGAGGGACATGTTTTTATATTGGCTCCAGACTTACAGCTTCACTTTCTGCTAACAGCTAAGTTGTTGCATGCCAGAGGCAGATAAAAGGAAACAACTGAAGCCCAGAAGACTGAATTGATAGGGCAAAGCAGGCACAGGCGAAGGAAATAGAAGTACTAAGGAAAAGGAGAAGAAAAAGTAATCGTAAGCTTTTAGAAAATCAAGAAAGATGTTCACAAAGGGCCAGCCTTACAGCCATTATTGATTGACATGCCCAACATACCTGGAGGGTTTAAACCAGAGAGGAACCACACTTAAGCACTGACACAAGATCTCTAAAATTCCCTTCTCCCCCTATACCCTTGAGCCCAGTCACTCAGCAGCCACTACTAACTCTGTCTCCTGTTGACCTAAACATGGTACAAAAATCAAGACCATCAGCATGCTGACAAAATTATTCCATCTACACTTTTACATTCATTCTGATTTTGTTCAGTCTCCTTACCAAAGAAACATTTTCTTCTTGTCCTTAAGGATTAAGAAAGACCATTTACTCAATACAAAATATAATACTGAACACTCTGAAGAACTCTGAATGACAAATATTTTAGTTGAAGCCTAAAGACTGTAACCCTAAGGTCCCATTCACAGATGTACCTGTGATTAAATGTTATTGACCCAATCTTTCAGTCTTAGTTTCTCCTCTATAAATTAGCAATAGTACGAATCATGTCACAGATCACTGAAGGCTTAGTAAAACACAAAGTTCTACCTATGATGTAGCATGACTTCACTTAATTTGCTTATGATATTCCCACAGACCCAGCTCAGACAACAGAAATCAGTTGAATAAATGAATTCCTGTTGAGCCTTACACATCCCCAAGTGTTTTCTTCAGTATAATGTCATCTAAGTCTCAAAACTATGATAAGAGGGGTAAGATAAATATTATAAAACACATTCTGCAAACAAAGAAACTGAAGTCCAAGTTGATGAACATCTCTGCCGCAAGCCACATGGCTGGTTAGTGGTGGAGGAACAATGACAACCCAAGTACCCTCACTCCTACCTCAGTGATCTTGTCATTCTGGACTTTAAGATTCAGTAAATATCAAGAAATAATCTGCACAGAATCAGTAAGAAGTTATAATCAAGCAAAGATCAATGAATTATTGCACCATTTTTTTCCAGTTTGATGAAAGAAATAAATAATTAATGTGTTCTGCTTAAATATTTAAATAGCCAATGCCAAGGTATTTACAATTCAAAAAATCACAGGTAATCATAAAGAACAGGAAAGCCACATAATATGTACTGAGCAAGCATCTTCTTGACTTATTCTACTCATTTTTTAAATGTAATAGTTTGGAAGGTGTTATTCTAAGCTACAAATCAAAGGGAAGTAAAGGCTTGCCTTTCTGTTACCAAGTCATATCTCACTTCAGAGTGAATTTCTTCTTTTTGCTTATTAATAGATACATACAGAAGCCCCCACAAGTAAGCTAATATGAACATTAAGTCTTCACAAAGGACTCTTGGATGGTTTGGATTTGATATAACCAAATTAAACCATACTCTTAAAATAAGGAGGTTTTTTAAGCTTCTATTTCTGTACATAATTTGTGTTCCCACTAGAGCTTGAAGTCCCAACGAGTTCTACATGAATTCCTTGGAGAATCTCAATTACCCAAAACAGTGCCACACAGAAACCTGTCAGAACAGAACAACCTTAAGAGTTACCCCTACAGATGCATGGACAAGCACACACGCACGCAAATGAAACCACACGAAACCATTTCTCTACATGATTTTTAAGTGTCAGTTCTTCAACCATTTCAAGTTACTTAAGTAGAAAAAGTCCCTTTCACATCACAGTCGAGTTAGGGGTGCCAAGAGGGGGCCCCATCTTCACATCAACCAGGTTCTCCTCCTAAAACGCCTCGTCCTTGGTCCCCTACTGCGCAGATTCCAGCACTGGAAGCGCGGGTGCCGGCATTTGCCTCTGGCTTTAGCCAGTTTGAGGTTAACCCGGTGCCGCCTTCTCACACCCTTCCCGCAACATTTTTGCACTTTGCGTGGTGGGTCTGATCCAGGCCTCTAGCCTTCCTTCCCTGCTACCAGCCTGGAAGCGTCGCAGAGGCAACTGAAGTGTTGGCCAGAAGTAGGTCCTCCTCCTGCCCGCCAGGACTGTAGCTGCGACCCCATCCCTGGCAAGGGGGGATCGGAAACAGACAGGCGGAGCTGGCGACAGCTCCAGGCCTGAGACTTCGGCGCCATTCGGTAACCCCACGCCTTCCCGCCTCCACCTGGCCAACCCCGGGGTCCCCTCCGGCCCTTGGGCGTTAAGCTGGGGTACGAGTGGGAAAGGGAAGTGAGGCAACCTGCGTGTGCAGGGGTGTGAGTGGGGACACACAGCACTAGGCAGGCAAAACCCCGCCTCTCCCCTAACTCCCGCCTCGGACCAGCCCGCAGCCCGGGTGCTCCAGGGCTCCTCGCTCTGGGACAAAGCTCCCGCGGCCTCTCTGCGAGCATGGGGCATCTCATCTCTGGTCCCTTCAGTCTCCTGGGCTGTGCCTCTGTCCCAAATGGCCTCCGGGCCGCCCTGGGGACAGAGGGGACCCCGGGTCCAGCCCTGCGTCCCGCCACTGCTCACCTGTTCAGCACTTTGCGGATTCTCTGGAGCATGCCAGCCCGGGAGGAGGCAGACAGGCTGCTGCTGCCTCCGCTGCCCTCAGCCGGCAGGTTCTCGATGGTGGTCACCACATGGTTCGGTGGGGCTGGCGGCGGTGGCTGCAGCTGCTGCGGCGGCGGCTCGGTGGGCATCATCGCGGCGGAGGTGGCGGCGCGGCGGCGATCAGAACGCAGCCGGGTGCATCGTGCACCCGCTCCGGGCCGGGTAACGCGCAGAGAACCCGGCGGGTGGCTGCGGCCGGGGCGGCGGTCCTGCCTGCGAAGATGCGAGGAGAGGAGGCTCTCAGGGTTACGGCCACCGCCGCTGCCGCCCAGCCCACCACTCACTCCTCTCCAGTCCCAGGGCGCGCACCCTGGCTCCGCTGCCGCCGCCTCCTGCCCAGGCTCTTCCCCAGACGCGTCCCCAAGTCCTGGCACGCCCCGCGAAGTGACCCTGATTGGTGTCGTGCAGGGACGCAAAGCTGCCTGTGGTCTCAGAAGAATCCCACGGAGAGAGGGGATGGGGCCCTGGGCTTCGCCTTCTCTCCTGGTGCTCAGGTCTTCTCTAGGCGAGCACCGCCTAAGCCTGTCCCCTGCTTGCTGGGAAAGCTGCCGTCTGTGTCTCACAGAATGAGAGACCGACAGTGAACCCCGGAGCCAGGCGGGGGCACCGCAGCGGCAGCAGCTGCAAAGGGGGGCTATTGGCGGGGGGGGGGGGGATAGAAACATGCATTCTGTTTTCGCCAGAGGGCGCTCCGGAGGTGCCTCTTTGCCAGAGACCCTCCTCTCCCCAGTCCATGAAGGTCCACAGGTCTGTGTTGCAGCGAGTGTGTGTGTGTGTGTTACTGTATGGGTTTGGGGATAGAACATCCTCTTTAGTTGGTGGAGACTCCCTGCTCCTGCCCAGAGTAAGGAATCTAGCACCACCTTCCCAGACAGCGGACAGCGACCGGACTCAGATAAGTGCTGCGGTCCCGGATTAAAAACCCAATTTTAACTTAAATATTACACTTACACTCACCTGGAAGCGGGTCTGACATGGCACAAAACAAGAAAAAAAATGTGGGGAAGGCTTTTTTCCCTTTTTCTTGATGTCTCCTTGGCTTCAAAATCTCTCCATCAGCTCTGAATAAAATGAAAAGGGATAAAAGCAAGAGGTTGGGGATCTGTATGTAGTTTTTGAATGGTGGCATGTGGATTCCAGGGCCACGCTTACTGATCCATTCACCTCTCTCTGACCAGTTGTGGTTAGCAAAACAACACTATTGCAAATGTCCATTCCACTCTTACTATTTCATTATTTGTGCTTCACCTGACATGCACTAGTTTTGTTGAATTTCTTTTGGAAGCAGAAGTTGGTGCTCAGCTACACCCTCTTTAATGTTGCTCATTTTGAAGATATTTTCACTCATATGAGGAAGGAGGGAATTTTGCCTGTTTCAGACCTCAGAGTCACCAGACATTTTGACTAATCTGATTAGCGCAGACTGCACCTGTGCTGACTTGGATAAAAATGTCAAATTCATACTCCAAAAGTGACTGATGATTCTCCCCAAACTGCTCAACAGTTGCCTGGAATTGCTTGTGCTGCTGCAAACGCCAATGGCCCAAGCCTTCTCTGTGCCATTCTCTCTCTCTTTTTCCCACGCCTTCTCTCTCTCTTTTTTTCATTCCTAAGTCTAGTTAAATCTATTCAACACACACTATGAAACGTGTGGCATCTAGAATGATAGCACTTTGGTGTTCTGATTCACAAACTGAACTCATGCAGCAGAGGAAAAAGCAAAGCCAGTGGGGGATTTGTGCAGAACAGGAAGGGAAAAGGAATAGAATGGGTAGGTCTTTACATTTATATTCAAGAAACGGGTAAAGTAATGGGAAGATTGGGAGATCAAATTGGCAGAACTTTAGCAAGCATACCTACCAATCAGAAACTTTATATATGTTATTGGTGGATATGGAAAATGTGCACAGAGCAGAAAAACAAATAATGGGCAACAAGTTTAAAAAACTTTACACATTTTACAAAACTTTTCTGCTTATTTATGTAGTTTTTTGTTTTTTGTTTTGGAGACATTTCTTCAGGGGAAACTCAAGATATTGTTTGTAGGCTGATAATTGACCTTTTCTGATAAGAGATGGAAGGCTAGAGAAGGGGATTTGTGTTATTAATTGTGAATAAGGGCTAATTTTCCAGGGTCAGATTACATTTTGATAGGTTTAAAATATCTAAATATTATTCACCAAGTATTCCATTTCCAAAAGCATACATAGCATGGTACATCATTCATAGTGACATGGTCAGTCTTTCATTTCTATCATGGTGACAGGGTGAGAAAGCTTGCCATATTCAATGAAGGAACTGATTCAATAGTCGAAGTTTCCTTTAAACGAATCAATTAATTTACTATCCCAAGATGTTAGTCAAAAATATATGAATGATTACTGTCTTAGATCAGGCTGCTATAAAAAGTACCACAGACTAGGTGGCTTAAACATATTTATTTATTTCTCACAATTCTGGGGCTGGAAAATCCAAGATTAAGGTCATAGCAGATTTGGTGTCTGGTCAGAGCTTTGTTCCTGGCTTGCAAACAGCTACCTTCTTGCTATATCTTTACATGGCAGAGAGAGAGCTAATTTCTCATACCTGTTCTTTAAGGGCAGTAATCCTATTTCTGAAGACTCCTTAGTCATTACCTAATTGCCTCCTAAAGACCTGCATCTACATAACCTCGCATTGGGGATTAGGGCTTTAGCAAATAAATTTGGGAGGAACAAAAACAAAAATTAGTTCAGCAATACCCCAGAAACCTTCACTATTTCAAATAAAATTAGTTAGCAAGTATGCATGACTAGGGGAGCAAAACCCTCATATAAACCTCTGTTATCATTTTTAGCTGATGACTTCCATATTTTTTCTTCCTAAACATTTTGATCCTCAAAAATGTTGATGCAAAATTTTGGGTAAAATTGTAGAGATTGTTGTGTGGAATTTATACACTGATTTGCCAGTGCTAGGTAGATAGCATGTTACAGTAGAAACTGGAGTCAAACATTTTTTTTAGTTCCAATTCCAGCTCTATTGACTGGCTGAGTTAATTTTAGGAAATTTTAAAAACTTTCTGAGCATCAGTTTTCTAATCAATAAAAATGAAGATAATCATATAAACCTTTCAGGACACATGTAGACTAGCAATAATGTATATAAAGAATCTGACATAAAAGATATTTTTTTAAAATAATGACTTTGAACCTAAACATGATGGATTAGATAATATTCAAGTAAACTTCCTCCATGAACAATTATAAAAGATGAATGAAATATTAGACAGTGGCCAATGTAAGGCTATGACCCTTAAGGGAAAAAACACACAAGAAAGCAAGCAAATTAACACATTTAATGAGCTCTAAATTCATCCCAACTTTCACCCTGAGGGCATTTTTCTAGCTATAGTTCAGGAAAATAGTACTCAGTCAGTCTCACTGGGTAGAGAAGACAGAGATCAGAGTGCAGAGTTGCAAAGGCCACTGGTAGTTGGTGGACAGAGTCACAGAGAGGAGGGACCTAAGAGAAGGAGCCAAAAAATTCTGTATGAAAATTTCATTCAGAGCCAACTCCTATGCTGTACAGGAGCAGGGCAAGCCTCTGGGAAGCTCAGCAAAGAAAGTTGCTGAGCAGCTGGAAATCTGAACAGAGATTTCAGATGTAGCACAGTGCTGGAAGGAACAGAGGTTGATATTTAGACATAGTGGTTGTAGACTTTGGGTTAAGTCTCCAAAAGAGGACACATCCTAGGTATAAAAATCATGTCATAGAAATAAGAGCTATGCTTTAGAACTAAGGACAGAATAATAGACAGTCTCTAACAGAGCCTGAATCCAAAGCTCCTGATAAAGGTGATGCTTGTCTTCCAGATTAAATTGTAATGCTCTTTGGAGAAGCGGGGGGGGGGGGGGGGGGGGGAGGCAGGGGGAGGTGATTAGTAATCTGCAGGAGGAATTAAAAAATGTTTGCTGTAATATTTTAAGTTGTGTAGACCATATAGTCTCTGTTGCAACCACTCTGCTGTTGCAGTGTGAATGTAGCCATAGACTATAGGAAAATAAATGCGTGTAGTTTTTTTTTTCCAAGAAAACTTTATTTACAGATGAACACTAATACTTGATTCCATATAGTTTTCATATGTCAATAAAAATTCTTCTTTTGATTATTTTTAACCAGGTATAAATGTAGAAAATATTCTAGGCTTGGGGGCTAATCAAAATCAGAATAATGTCCACAATAAATATAAATGCCAAAATTCTCAACAAAATATTAGCAAACCAATTGCAACAACACACAAAAAGAATTATATGCCATAACCAACTGGGATTTATCTTAAGAATGCAAGGTTGGCTTAATATCTGAAAATCAATTAATGTAATGCACCATATCAATAAAATACAAAACAAAATCTTCATGCACATTTGGCAAAAATGCAACATTAATGATTCATTAAATAGTTCAAAAAAAACAAAACAAGAAACTTGTAACAGAAGGGAATTTTCTGAATCTAAGAGAACATCTATAAAATAACTATAATAAAATTATATTTAATATTTAAAGATTGAATGCCCCCTTTTCCTCCAAGGTCAGGAATAAGCCAAGAATATCTGCCCTCACCATTCTATTTAATGTTGTCCTGGGGGACCTAGCCAGTTCAATCAGCAAGAAAAAATAGATAAAAAGCACTTCTATAGGAAAAGAAAAAGTGAACATATTACTGTTCACAGATATGATTCTGCGTTAAGAATATCCTAGGGAATTTATAAACAAAAAAACAAAACCAGTATCAGAACTAATACACATTTACAGTAAGGATGCAGGATATAAGAGCAATATGTAAAACTCAATTGTATTTCTATACACTAGCTTGAACAATCTGAAAATGAAATTAAGAAATAATTTCATAAATAATAGCATCAAAAGAATAAAATACTTAGAAAACATATAATTTCTCAGATATATACATGAAAAGCTATAAAAGATTTTTAAAATAAAGATCTAATGAAATGGAAAGATGTCCCATGTTCATGGATTAAAAGACATAATATTATTAAAATGGCAACATGCCTCAGATTGTTCTACAGATTCAATTACCCTCCAGACTTTT